GTAAACAAATTCAAGTCCAAGGGGCTACTAAGTGCTGGCAAAGCACCGTTTCATCGTTTCTGTTACCAGTTGTGTCCCTGATCTCTCCAAGCATGGGAGAAGAGTGGGGCTAGCTGCTGTACGGAATCTCTGGGGGAAAGGGGAAGTCTCCCTATACAGGAATCCCTGAATTTCATAGAGACAGACGGGTACGCCAGAAGAAACAGAGCTCCAATTCTTCCCAAATGCAATACCTTGGAGAAGAAGGAGCAAAGAAAAGATGAAGTCCAGTGTCATGGGTACAATTCAAACATTGCCAGGAACTGCACAGGTGATCCTAGGAAAGGTATTCAATGTCATTTAACCTTTGTTCACTTTGATTTACTAATTTATAAAAGAAGGGATGATCATGTCTACTGCACAGTTATTGAAGAGTAAATCAAATACCAGATATGTTAATCAGTAGCCACAAATCGACACCTAAGAAAAGCGTTGTTTTAAAAATTTGTAATACAGACTCCTGAGAGGAAATTTTGGATCAATCTCAAAATTGAATACCCCCAGTTTCAATAAATTCATCCTCTTACGAGTATTATTAAAAATCTATTTCAAATATATATGTGTTATATATATTATATGTGTGTATATACACACACATATATATGTACAAATAGGTGTATATATGTATATATATAAACATATACATGTGTGCTTATATGTACACATATATATGCACACACATATATAGAACTGATATTCAAGAAAAAATGTTGAACACAAATGAAAAATTCTCTTAAGCATCATTGTTTCTTAGATAATAATGACCTAAATTTGACCTAAAAATCATAAAGATATCAAAGATATCACTTTGAGGACTAAGGTGCTCCTGACCCAAGCCGGGTATTTTCAATCACCTAATATGCATGTGAAAGCTGGACAATGAGTAAGGAAGCCCAAAGAAGAATTGATGCATTTAAATTACTGTGTTGGCAAAGAATATTGAATATACCGTGGACTGCCAGAAGAATGAACAAATCTGTCTTGCAAGAAGTACAGACAGAATGCTCCTTAGATGCGAGGATGGTGAGACTTCATCTCACGTACTTTCAACATGTTATCAAGAGGG